GAAGCGGCGGTTTGTGAGATCAGCATGCAATCGAAATTAATGGAAGGAGCGCATTGGACGCTTGCAGAATATTTTCATACAGTTTTCTTAGAAATTCTGACTACTTTTATGTTCGAACCCGTTTTTATAGTTGTTGTAATCTAATCACAAAATAAAATGACTTACAGTTCTGCTGTCAGTATTGTACTTATGATTCCAAATTTGAAAAAACCTCGCAGCAATTTTTTCGAAAATAAAACATAAACAACTTAACAATATCTGGATTCTTAGATGCATAATAGATGAAAAATTAGATGCTTGAAATTGGCAGTTGCGATTTGTAAGACGTAACAATTTATATTTATTTCTTTAGGTTTATGCCCCACGATAAACTGTTTTCGTATTGCATTCTTGGCCAGCGGAACCATACAAATAGAGAGCTAGCACGGAGAAAAGGCGCTTATAGTAGTAAGAAGCAACATCGACGCTTATAGTTGTTTTATTACGATCAACTTTCCAATAATGTTTCAAATTTATTATTTTAATTATTCTTATTAATTCGTTAAAAATATTACATGGCAAACTAAGAACCTTTACTGTTCTAAATAAAATATTTCTAATCAAATTGGAAGGAAATCAGTGGACTATCATTCCTCTCGCAGACAAACGTCGTAGTGATACCATTCATTTATTGATAGTTTATATGTTGTCCTTTAGGGAACAATTTAATGATTTTTATATCCTAATCCGAGTTCATCCTTCGACCTTAAAGATTGAGCGAACGTTAAAAGTGGTGTCTTCGCACTGTCCGCCTGAGAAGACCATCCAAACAATTTCCTCAGAACATCTCGAGGGAGGTCGCAGACTCCGCGGCCGCTTCGTTAACCGTCGTCCTCCCGTGAGGACGGGTAGGTCCTCGCGACCGCCTGCGTCCTCAATTGCACGCCCCGCTGGCGCTACATCACTCGCCGCGCCCGACTCCGCAGTGGAAACACGTATCTCGCTCGCGACCCTGCCACCTGCGCGGGAGACGACCGGAAGATCCAATTTACACGCTTCCTTTTGACGAACGGTTTCCAGAGTTTTAGCGCATGCGCACAGCGGCTTCTGGGGTGGTGGAGCCATGAAGCGCATGCGAGTGTGTACGCTAAAACTCCCGAAATCGTTCGTCAAAAGGAAGCGTGGGTTCAACGGAGTTGGCAGCAATGTGGCTGTTTGTTTAAGCGGGTTGGTACCACTCCATGAGCCTCCACCCGTATCCTCCTTTGCTGCCCCCTCCTGCTGTGATGACTCTGGGGCAACATCCGTTGTATCGTTGACTTGGAGAACATAGGGTTTGAATAGCGTGGTTGACGAGTTTTCGACACTCGTTCGACTAGGTCGAGTTTAATCGCTTCCTGGAGGGACCAGCTGTTTTCATCACAAGTGTCACGTGATATCTCCTATCGATACCAACGCCATACGGGAGCAGTACCCTCATAAACGAGCTACGGACAGCGCACGCTTTTTCCTCCCTCTTCCCTGTTCTATCCTCTCTCTTACCTCACATTTACACGACCACCAATTCGGAATACTAGTCGGAAGTTGAACGCTTATTCCAGGAGGTATGGAATCCCGCTATGGAAGATATCTAGAGAGGAAAACCCGCACGGCTCGATGGAGTACAGGTAGGCGCCGAATATTACATTTATGCGAGGACGGAATGCCGAGGTATAATATTCATTACACATACGGCACTAATGACTACGATACTTGACACGTCCCGGAACACTAAATACTCACTTCGCTATCGCCGTCGCAGTTACCTCTCCGGAGCTTAGGGAGGGGAATCGGTATTAAAATTACCCTTCCTGAAGTTTCAATCATATATCTTTTTCCTTTTTCTGCATCCCTGAACTATTCTTTATTCCTACCGTTCTTAACTATAAACTCTGCGAGGTTCCTCACATTTTTTCCGATAAATTCTGTTCTCTCTCTCTCTCTCTCTCTCTCTCTCTCTCTCTCTCTCTCTCTCCCGCCATATGTGTGTGTGTGTGTGTCTGTGTCTCTCTCTCTTTATGTCTCTCTCTTCAGTAGCTTATCCAGTTAACATGCCAGCTAGTTGAGCTTTTTGAACTTCCCGTTTTACTGTTTGCTGCAACGATACTTCTTTGGCCTCCTTCAGATTGTGATCGGCACATTCTTGAACATGTTCGCAAGGTTCTCGTAGAAAATTCTTCTTCACTTGCGCGCTTGCCTCCTGATTTCCTTACGGTGTGTATGTGATATGCTCTATGCCCTTTTTATGTGTATGTAGTACCGCATATTAAATGTTTGAATTTCTTTCTCGTCTTCTTAATTTTCACTTAACAGTATTTCTTGATCTGTCCTTTTCTATCTCTGTCTGCCTCACACACACAAGCGCGCGAGCGCGCGCGTGCACACACACACACACACATACACACACACAAGCACACACACTCTACTTGCCTTTCTGAACGCTATCTTCTTGTTCGCTTATCTAAACATCTAATTATTTGACTCTATCTTTTTTCTTTGTTCTCTTTATTCTCTTTCTCTTATCCCCTCTCCATATCTTCTCTTTTTTCTTTGTTATCTTTCTTCTTTCTCTTATCCCCTCTCCGTATCTTCTCTTTCTTCTCTCTCTCTTTTTCTTCTTCTCTCTTTTCTCATCATACCGGGCAATAGGATTCTCACGTGACATATTTAACGCCTCCACGACAGACAATATCTTTCTCTCCATTTTCACACCCACTCTTTTCGCCTCTATTATCCATCGCACCCTCAGCCTCTACATAGTTCACATTTCCCCCGTTGTCACTCAGTCTTTTCCATTCTCCTCCCCAATTGTCATTGCCGCCGGTGGCCTGTCCTTCTCTCGCCCGCCGAAGTAGAGCTACTTCGTCGCCCGCTCACCTTCCTTCGGCGCTCAGCGAGCGGCGCCGCCACCGTCGCGTCGCGTCGCAGCCTCCGCCGCCGCTCGCGGGCGCGCGGGCGGCGTCAGCGGTGCGTGGGAGTATTTCCCGAGGCGGACTAACAAGCTCTCGGTCAATACGGCCGCCGACGAACAATATTGACGCTTCCGGTAGGCCGCAAACAGACGACTGTCAGGAGTCCGCCTACTCCCCTGCATTCCCCATCCACATTTGACGCGTACGCCCCAGCCCGCCCCTCCCTCAACCGCCCTGCCCGCCCAGCCCGCCCACTCTCCCCCGCGTGCCAATAACCAGACCCGACCTCCTATAGTTCCATCCTACGCACCAGCTACTCCATCCTCGCGCTGATCCTCCAGGCCCAACCAGTCCCCAGCCCCTCACCCCCCCCCCAAGCCCCATCTTTTCCCACGCCTGCCTTTCCCCCCCCGGCTAGCTTCCCCCACCCTTTGACCCACCCATCGCCTAGCCATACTACTCCTTCCTTCCCTGTCCTGGCTTGTCCACCTGGGAGACCCGCCCCTTCCAGTCCTTTCCCGGCTCACACCCCCATCACTCTCTCGTTTTTTCGCCATGCCCGCCCTTATCATCCTTGCCCCAGTACAGCTTATCATCAGCTCCACCTACCCATTCTCGCACTTACTCAGACCATCTGTAACCATACCACAACTCTATCAACCTCCCCCTACCCTGCCAACCTAAGCCATCACCCCCTCGTGCTTCGCCCGCCCCACCCTCATCCCTCACCTGTCTCGTCTCACCTGCCAGCCCCGTCCCTCCATGTCCTGCTCAACTCGCCGCGCCCCCTGCCAGCCCCTCCTATCCCAGCCTGGCTCTCTCCATTCCCACCCAGCTATATCCCATCTCACCCAAACTGCCTCCCTGCTACCCCATCTCCTTCCGACACTGCCCTGCTTCCCTCTTTCTCATATATGACCGTTCGCCTGCCTTTCAGGGCCTCCGCCTTCGTTCATCCCAATCCATCCACCTCCTCCCGCTGTACCTGCCCCGCCTGCGCCCCCGCCCGCGGGCCAGACGGAATTTCGAGAGGCTCCGCTCTGCTCGAGCGTTCACCGTTTCGCCGGCGCCGCCGCCGGCGCCGCCGTTCGCTCTGCTCGCGAAAGATGCTGGCCGCCCGTTTGCGAGTCAATTGGCTCCAGAATGCGCTCTTAAAAATGAGAGCGCACTGGGGGGCTTGTATTCGGCGGAGCGAAAGGCCGAACGAGAATTCCGCGGCTTTTGTTTGGTGAGCATGCTGCTACTCAAGGTTCATGGAGAAGCGAACATGGGAATCGTTCCGTTATTGCGCAGCAATCGATGAGAGAACAATGAGAGATTTGGAAGTTAGTTTGAATAGCAGTTGTGCGATTAAACATTAAAATGATGCGGTCTTCCCCTGGCGGCGTGTTCATTAAATAAAGAAAACCAACTGAAGGCGAAGGTTGCGTTTTATACTTACACTTATAATAGAATGTTATTAATATTTAACAGTAAGTGTACTTAAAAATTATTCAAACATGTAAATTGTAATAGAAGAAATTATAAAAGAATAAGAATTTTACTGAGTGAAACGATTTCTCTTTTATATTTGATGAGCAGGTGCTTAAAAAAATTACATAATCTCTGATAAGTTATAAATTAATAGATTTTATGAAATTTTTTATTTTTATTTATGAAAACCCAATTATTAAACTGCACGTGATTAATTGCTTATGAAGAATGGTTTTCCCAAGTTGGTATGTTCTATGTTTTAGTAAGAAAATCTTTGGTATGTAAAACCTAGACTAATGAAACAGATTGACAGTGGTTCAGAACGACTATCATTTAAATAGATTCTGAACCAAAAATCTCGTCATGATTTTTAAACATTCCTAAAGCGGTTTACGACGGTTTGATCGCGAACTTTGATCCCGATCCAACAGTGGAGATGATTAACATTTGTAGACCTTTTATTTCAGTGTTGATTTTGGCAACTCTGCCTGCTTCTTTATCATGCAAATTAACGTTTTTTATCAACCAGTTTTCTGTGACTGTGTCATTTGTCTGCTCATTCTCACGACTTACCGGTTTATGTATTACATTGTCGAAATGAAATCTCATCCGACTCTTTTGATGTTGCGCTCTAAGACGAATGGAATTCCCAGAGGTGAATTTCTGTTTTGAATTTCTGTCGGCATCTTCTCTTTCTTGGGTTGAGTATTACTTGTATCTTTGGTCATAAATTGTTGCAAATTGTAGACTATCCTTGTAGAATTTGTTGTATCCCTTTCTGTTCTATTAAAGCAATATTTTTAATAATAGTACCTGTAGTGTCTTTTTGAGAGGCACAAAAATGATCAGACAGATCCATGCACATGAACAAAGATTCGATACGGTAAATGAACTGACCAAGACTGAAAAAAAAAATATCGATATGTGATTAATTATCACTTGCATCATGAAATTGAAGTAGGTGACCAAATAAAATAAAATATAGTAATAATATAGTTTCCCGTACCTTGAACCGCCCGGGAACACACCTTCTGGATAGGTTCTTAACTCCATCCTCATGGTCCGCAAGGAGTAGTGGCGAATAGCCTTCTGCCGTGAAGGAGAGTCATTGAGAAATATCGAATGCGGCTATATCTCCTGTATGAAACTCTATTTGAAAGAAAAATATTTGTCAACATTCGCAAGAGAGACCTTCACCTGTAATACTCTTCTGCTAGATGAACCACTGTTTCGAAATGTTTACTTTCTCTTCTTACCTAGTAAAAAGATAATGTATTGTAACCTTGCGCCGGAAATTGGAAATGTTTGGACCAGAAAAATACTCTATTGCTGGATACATTTTCTCAAAAAAGGCTCCAAATTTTCTCTTTACTCTATTGGTAGAAATAAAATGTAAAGGCCTGTTAAAATGGCACAAGTCTCGTTTTCGTTATACTCCACTTTTTTTAATTGTACAAGTTAGAAATATTGCGAGAAAGTATGTGCTTCTTTACTTAAGAATCTCTGGTCATTCGCTTATAATTTAAATATTATGTACTCAACAGATCCATTTCGTGTTCACTTGTGTGCTATTTCGTGAATGCCAACACATATTGGCGTTGGCTATGAAAAAAATTCAATTTAATTCAGTTATGCCTTACTTTCCGTGAAGTGACTCAGGCCATCAGGTCTGCTCTTCCACCTGACCATGCAAATTCCGTAATGCCCCTTTCGCTGTGTGGCAGAGAAAGTAGGGCGACGAGTTAGGCGATTTCAAAATTATGCTCAGAGCCTTCTTTTAGGCTTGAGGATCTTTCACATTCAGTAAATCTACAACATGGGATAACCGGCTTTATTTCCCCTCCGAAGGAAAGTGTACGAAGAATTTTTCCGCACTTTCACGACTTCTATCGGATTTGAACCAGCGTACTTTCGTGTAAATTCTGTACGTTATGCCACCTAAACCGCTGGAAAGCTACGAAAAAATATAGAGCCCTCTTCGAAAACGAATCTCGCGTTTCCTCTCCTGGGCGTCCTTGGCGTCCAGCTGCTTCTCTGGCCTGCCTCTCTCGGCCCAGCCAGTGCCGTTGGCGAACAGTGTAGCCTTTCCACGAGAATGAACGCGGCAGCCTGTCTGCTCCCGCGGACACCGACCAGGCGCCGGCGGCGGCACATAAGGCGGAGTTGGCGGCGACGGCGGCGACATTTTTAAGGCGCGGACGCAAATGGAAGCGCCTTATACGTGCGTCGGGAGGCATGGCGTCGCTTCTCTGGCTGTGCAGTGCCCAACGCAGCGGACAGTCCGTGACACGACGCTGAGGCTACTCGGCCACTGCTACCGGCTAAGGCGGATCGCCAAAAAGCAATAACGTCACACTGCCGTACATTCAATAAGCCACCACGGCTTTGGATTACATTCCATAGCTTAGTTATGCTGTGCACAACTCTTTTTTGTAATAATAATAATAAGAATAATAATATTAATAATAGTAATATTAAATTATATTAATTTTCATATAAATTAACATGTACACTGCAGAGAGCGTAGGCTTCCGAGCCGGAGTCAGTATTTACTAGGCTGTCCGGGTGACCCCGCGTCCATGGCGAAGGTGCCGACGTTTCGCTCAGAATCAATAATAAATCAATCCTGTTTATTATAGCGCGGTTGGGGAAATCAAATATCCTTGCTGCTGTCTTCATGCCAAAAATTGTCTTTTACTGCAACGCAGAGTCGGTTTTAGATATTACGGGTCCTCAAAGTACAAACTCGTGTTGGGACTCCCTCTCCGAAAGAAAATTCCTCAGTATTTATTTTAAAAAATGCAAATTATAAAAGGGTAGCTTTTCATTTAAGTACAAATTAAAATAGGCTATTTGTTTAAAAAGTTACGAATTTGAACCACGTTAGATTATTTGATCAACACTTATATTTCAGATATTTCACGGCACATTTTCAATTTTTTTGAATGTCTTTGTAGGTCACGCCCCCCCCCCCCCATGGTTTGGCATCTTATATAGCCAGCTCATCTTATTCGTTAAGAAAGTATAGATCGAGATTCAGCTATGGAAGAAGTGAAGTTTATTAGATTTAAAAGATAAGAAAAACACCGCAGTAACAAAAAAATCACAACGAAACCTACCACGAACAATGTTCCATCCGATGTGTGGAATGTTGGGAATTTAACACCTTAATCGTTCAGAGTTCTGAAGGGATTATAAGGAGAGTGTCATCGGAGACAGGCAACTGTGTTATTTTTGGACTTAGCTGTGTCATCTTGCGAAGATACTGAACGACCGGGCATCTGGCAACTCATAAACACGATAATTAACGTTTCTTCGAAAACCGGTGACCTAGATCGAGCCAGCAATTTTTTTCACGGAAGTTCAAAATACTCAAATCACTGCAGACCATGGAGAAACAGCTTAGGCATGTACGCAGGAATAATTTGCGAAACCTTGCAGTGGCACAATGGCAAACTTTCTCAACCGGCACTGATGTAACGTCAATAAAGGTTAAGCTTGTTGGCTCGATGGCGGGATGGACATATTAGCATAGACTACAAGGAAGAGTAAGCAGTAGCAGCAATACTCTGAACAATCTCATCAGCTATATACTTTATTCATTCATCATTTATTTAACAAGTTGTTGAATTTTCTTGTGATGTGGCATAAAGACAGATTTATCTATTCTTACATTTAAAGCTTCACAATTGTAGAGCCGCTGGCAATTTTTATACTTAACTGGTTCGCAAAAATTTGATAACCCTAGAACGTGTGTTATTACGTATGAAAACATAATTGCTGTGGTAAATCCATGCTTTATAATGCCCGCCAAACCACACAGTCCACATGAACGTTAGTGTAACTAGCTAAACTCGTGAAACCACGACGATCAAATGATTTCTCTTCTCCGAGAAAGGTCAACATCGTGACAAATTCATGAGGAACTTTGCACAGTGCCGAAGTGAGAATGAAACCTTGCAGCATCCTTCTTGTGTGAATCCAGAGAAAACAGTGTAGCTTTCCACTTCTATCTCCGTTTACAAATTGTTCCGGGAAAAGACATTAGAAATATACAGTGCTAAAACACACTCTTCATATCGAAAAGTATTCGTACTCGAAATTGGTTTGAGATACGAGAAATATTGATCAAATGTGCTTGTGGAATGTGATATTTTTATTTTTTAATTACAACTCATACAATATGAATGAAATCGAATATAGAAGTATTCGGGCCAGGCACGTCACGTACCTAGGCAGAGATAGTCATTTAACTCTTGCATTTTATATCCCTGGAGGTGGAGTGCTTCCTGGCGCGTCAACTGCTAAAGTCATTAGTAATGTAGTGCATGTTATTTTATAGCGGGTGAAGCCGGTGATCTCCTTAAAAATGTTAATTAAAAAAATTCGGTAATATTGAACGAAATTGATATTGATGAGAAACTATCGTTAATATTATAACCCAGGGATTTTATTGAAAAAAACAACAGTCTGTTATTTCTGTGTGCTTTGCTATAGGATTTATTTCTTTTTTAAAGTATTATATTGAAATAGTAGAGCTGTGCTTATTTTATATTCCATTGTTGAGTAGCTTTCTCTAAAAATACAACAACCGGAAAAAGGCTATGCCACACTGGCTAAATATTTCAAGTAATACATTTCCTCCGAACATATAAAATTTGCGTTAAATTACTACCTTGCCACAAAAGTTTACGAAAACAAGAGACCCATTTTCAACGCCAACAAATTACTAATTAAATGCTCTGTTTGTTTTTCGAGTAGTTTCGCCTCACAAATGAAGGAAATTTCAATTGGAATTCCAAGCGACCAGAGCACTGATCTGGGGTCTCGACCTTCCAACTGATTTTCCGTTGAGGTCAAACCTGGGGGTGGTAAAGGCGGAGGGCCATGGCAAGAGAGGTGAACGGAGTGGGTTCCAATGCAACTGATGAAGGATAGAGATGCAGCAGGGAAGGATTGGATGGTGTAGACGAGACGGAGGAGGAGGAGATTGGTGGGAGGCTACTTAGAGGAGATCGAGAAAGGTTGGCAAAAGGGGACGAGTCGAGGAAGGATGGGGAGGGGAGGGGAGGACGAGTCGAGGAGGGGAGGGAGGACGAGTCAGGAGGGAGGGGAGGGAGGACGGTCGAAGGAGGGAAGGGAGGCAGAGGAACGATCGAGAGGGGAGGGAGGGCGAGGACGACAGTCCGAGGAGGGGAGGAGGGGAGCACCGAGTCGAGGGGAGGGAGGAGCCCGAGTCGAGGAGGAGGGGAGCACGAGTCGAGAGGAGAGAAAAAGAGTCAGGAGGGATGGGAGGGAGCACGAGTCGAGGAGGGGAGGGGAGGGGAGCACGAGTCGAGGAGGGGAGCACGAGTCGAGGACAGGAGAGAAGTAGTAGGGAGGGGTGAGGAGGGGAGGTAAACAATGGAAGAGGGGCTTTAAAGTATGAAGGAGGGTTGGGGAGATTGGAGACAGGGCGGGAATGCGCGGAGAGGAGGAGAAACCTAGTAACGAGACGAGATGGTGAGTACAGGGCGAGTATGACAGGAGACTGGGGGAATCCGCAGGCTGAAGGCAAGACGAGCGCTGTGGGGCGATGTGGAAGGCAGGCGGAGGAAGGGCTGTAGGTGTCACAGGGGAGTGGCGGTTTAGGCAGACGGGGTCGCGGCCCCTGCT